TGGCTGCTTCGCACTGTCTGCTTAACTTCTAGCCCAGTTCAAGGTGCTCTACATAGCCTGGATCCTAATACCTTAGGAACAACTTTTTCTCATAAGCCTTCCTCTGAAATTAAATGCTCTGCTTTGTGATTTCTCTTTTGCACACGTTAAGTTGCACATCAGGTGCAGAGCTTTTTTGATGCTTCTCTGGAACTCAGTCACTTGGGTGCAATCCTATGCATGTTTAAACAGAAACAGTAGTAGGACATTTGTTTAAACATGCATAGGATTGCACTCAGTTATTTCACTGTATCATGACTACCTTGTGGAAAGATGGCTTTCTGAAAGGACTGCTATTTGGACTTACAGAATAAATTAGAAGATACTGATGATTACATTTTTCTTTTAGTTTGTTCTGAAATATTTATTTTATTCTTACATATTTGTTGTTGGTTAACTGTAACAGCCCTTTGAGTAAGAGTATTTTGAAAATAAATAACACAAGCCAGTATCTGATGATTCATAGGTAAACTACAATGTATCTATTATTTCATGAATATTGTGAAGTGTATCAGTTTTACTGTTAAGGATATGATGTAACTGAAATGTTAACCAATCCATTCCCTCTAGACTGAAGGTGCTGAAGAAGAAGATACCTCAGTACAAGAGGATGATCTCTCTGGCTCTACCAATGAACTCCCAGCAGCTTTTGAATACAGTGATAGTTTTAGCCTAGATATGACAGAAACTGAAGAAAAGGGTGACAGACTATTGGATCAATATGCACTTGCCAGGTATATGTATACTTGATGTTAAAAGTTCTAAATTTGTTTCCTTGTAAATATATTCAAAATAGCTTGCAAAAAATTGAATACATTAAATGGTTTAGAGTACTAAAATCAAATGTATAAAATAAAACCAAGAACAGGATTGAACATCAGCTCAAAAATAGGGACACATTAGAAAACTCTCAGTATAAATAAAATTTTGAGTCACATATTAGTCCTAGGTTTAAAGGTATGGTCAAGCCATTTTCTCAGACCTTCATACTTTAACTAAGCCTTTACCAACCCAACACACTCCAGATGTGTTGGCTGTGTTGCCTGGGTTTTATGGGGGTTGTGGTCCAACACATATGGATGGTACCTGGTTGGGGAAGGTTGTTCTACCCTCATTAAGACTGTATGAATGAGCACAAACCAGCACATAGTTTCTCTATACTTACTGTAGAATTTTTTGGTTGACTTTTTTTCCAGTTTTGGTGATGGTGACAGGAATATTTCACCTCCCCCTTCCCCCTTCTTTTCTGCTATCCTGGCTGCATTTCAACCAGCTGCATGTGATGATGCAGAAGAAGCCTGGCGTAGCCATATTAACCAGCTCATGTGTGACTCTGATGGTTCCTGTGCAGTATATACTTTTCATGTGTTCTCTTCCCTGTTTAAGGTAAGAAAATAATTCTAGGAATCCCACATTATCAATAATTTGGTGAAATTCAAACAGTCTTTACAGGCAACATTAAATGCAGGTCCTGATTATGTTTTGTAGCTCTTATCAGGATTTATCAGGAGATAGTCTAGACTCTTAACTTTCCAGACTACATATTTGGACTACTACATATCCACATACTTGTATTTGTGGATTACACATTATTATTGCAATAGGCTTCGTGTCAGACAGTAACCCAATGACTGGTGGGACATTCTATTGGACTGCCAGATTCAGGACTAAATGGATAATAGCCCCCTTCCCAGAGTCCCCTTCTTTGACCCCTCATTCTTTTCATCTCTAGGTGTGCCCTTCTTTCTTCACACATAACCTCTGGTGCCTATCTCAAGGTCTATTGCTAGAACCTTCATGCTTCAGATGTTCCATTCACTGCAAGAATTGTTAACTGCAACTTTGACACGATCGCTTTCATTTCATCCCAGTCTTACGCTTTAGTTTGCTAGCTCACATCATTTTAATTGCTTTGTTTAGCAGAAGTGAAATTTAAAAAAACACTACTTAGCAAGAGAGCAAACACTGTTTCCTCTTGCAGTACTGGCACACCCTGATAACAGTGCTTTGATTTTCAACAGAATAAATTCCCATAACTGTCGTTGCAATATTACCAAATATTTCCAGTAACCAGAAGCCCAAGTTTAGATGGCTTGAAAAGTCCTCTTAAAAAGTAACTGTACAAGAAACACAAGCACACTTGCCAAGTGATTCTGAACAGAGGGAGAAACCAAACACACTGAAGCCTCTTGTGATTTCCTCTCCTGTAGACTTGGCATTGGAACATTCATTACATTGTTTGATAGGCCATTTGACACTGGATATTAACAAAACAATGACCAGAATGGACAGATAATTCTCTTGGTTATTGCTGTGGACAAAACAGGATGAACTACTGTGTAGTTTCAGTCTAACAGGAAAGAAGAGAGCAAATCACAAAATAAGTGAGAATATTTTAGCAAGCAGAACACACAACAGTTTAATCAAACCATAACAGCAGTTAATAGCCTTAAGCACATAAGCTGTATTTGTTTTTCCTCTTCGGTATTCAGAAATGCATACTGAACAAATGCAGTAAATTAGTACTCAGATTTGAAAAATACTGGGCATGATTTTTCTTACAGAATATTCAGAAAAGATTCTGCTTTCTAACTTGTGATGCTGCCAGTTACCTAGGAGACAATCTGCGAGGCATAGGCTCAAAGTTTGTGAGCTCATCTCAGATGCTGACATCATGTTCAGAATGCCCTACCCTCTTTGTAGATGCTGAAACTGTGAGTATAGGTACTTGACCTATCATACAGAAGTGCCATACATAGAAAACTAGTAGAGATGTGAAGTTGTAAAAGTTGATCATAATTTTTATAGACTTGGAGCATACTCTAGAAATATGTAGTAGCACATAAACCTTAAATAAAGCATCAATAAAGCTTTAGCCTACCCTAGCTGTCTTTAATGTTTTGTATGAATACAAATAGGGAGACTGTATAAATACGTAGCATGTTATGATCGCAGAATTTTGTCTCCTGAGAATCTCAATTTTCATTAATTAAAACAAAACAAGGGTCTAGTTCTCATTGTTTTGAAGAAAGGCCCTTAAGAGTGTGTGGGTATCATTTGGTGAAAATTCCAAAGCCTGTAGAAAACTTTGTAAGATATTCATGGTTCATGGAATAAACTCTAGTGATGTAATAGCTGCCTGTCACATCCCATGATCAGCAAAAGCAGCTTAAATTGGGTAAAGACTGAGAGCTTCAACTGTGGAGTGAAACAGGAATAAAATTAGTAACAAGAATAATAGTAATGTAGCAAGTATGTTTAATTGGAACAATTTATTTACAGGATTTAAGTCTTTGTGGCTCAATTCTTTGTAAATGTGTTACAGAGCACAACATGGCATTAAATTCATAATCATACAATAGCTTCAGTAAAAACGTGAGGAAAAGTTGAAAACATATTAGACATACATACTAAAAGCCTGAAACTGAGATATGGGATCCCTGACAGAGAAGGGGTGGGCTATACACCTACCTCTTTTCCTTCAGGAAATTCCACAATCGTCCCCCCCCCCCCCCAGTCTTATCCTCACAAAAATCCTGTGAGGTAGTTTAGGCTGAAAGTCAGTAACTAGCCCAAAGCTACCCAGTGAGGCTTGTGACTGAGTGGGGACTAGAATCCAGATCTCCTGGGTTCCAATCCAACACACCGACCACTTCATTGGCTTCTTCACATGACACAATTCTCACTTTATCCAGTCTCCTGCTAATCATTAATCTTACTTTTCTGGATTTTAGTTCTAAATTCCACAAAGACAGCCGTGAAAGTATCCACTAGAAGATTGTATAGGCACACATTTTCCATATGTGGCACTCTTTTCAGCAACTGAATTCCATGCCATTCCCTGGGTTTCCTAAATATTGGTGGCAACTCAGCACATAGATTGCTATACCTGAGAAATCAGTGGTATCGTGATTTCTGATCATAGTGTATACTTACACTGGTATTCAGTGAAACTAAACATACAGCAGTGGCATCATGGATTCTGTTCCTTAGACATATTAGATGACTGGTAATTGGCTCTGACAGACTTTGAAGAACCATTTGCATGCATTGTCTCATTGCCTAAAGTGCTTACAAATAAGACAGTTGGAGAGAACACAGGCAATACCCATGTGATTTTCCCAGGTCCTCCCAGCAACCTCACTTACAGTGCAATTCTATTTACCTTGACTCAGAAAAGAGTCCCATTGAGTTCAGTGGGACTTATTTCTACTTTTGATTTTCATTTTCAGTGAGAAAACTAAAGTTTAGTGTTTACTATGATGTCTTTAATGTTTCAGCTTCTCTCTTGTGGACTTCTTGAGAAGTTAAAATTCAGTGTCTTAGAACTGCAAGAATATTTGGACACATATAACAACAGGAAAGAAGCAACACTTTCTGTAAGCAGGTTTGCTTTATTTTATTTTTTTTTTGTATTAACTTCAACTTTCATGTGGCACAAGACTCTTTTGTTGCTTTTGCTGTAACAGGCAACACAACTATCCCTCTGGAAATTGTGTGTGTGTGTGTGTGTGTGTGTGTTTCGACTATTTCTCTTGTGGGGCAAAACCTAAAAATAAACATAGGCTACAGTCCTAAACATATCTGCTAGACGTATGTTTCTTTGAACTCAGTAGGACTTACTTTTGAGTCAACTTGCTTAGGATTGTTATGTACTAAAATATGAATAATTGATAGTTCATAGTTCATCTATAGTCATTCACCATTAATATGGTTCAAACATTGCTGAAAATTCAATTTAACAAAATCTAGCTGCATTCCTCAAAAATACAACTTAAAAAATGTAACATTTTCTGACTGTCAACCTGAAATTTCAAAGCACTTTGCTGATCATGGTACTGATGCCCCCTTGTTTTTCTTTCAAAAATTAGTGGCTGGCAAACTGCAAGGCAACATTTGCTGGGGGTTCAAGAGATGGTGTTATCACTTGTCAGCCAGGAGACTCAGAGGAAAAGGTAATAAAGCACTCTTTTTTTCTTTTTTGCATTATTCTGCCTTATTTCTTAAGCACATGCAAGGTTTTTGTATGTCTTACATTTTTTTTCAAATTCTAATTACAATCTGGTATCACAGCAACTGTAAAGCATAGTGAAACGGAGCTACATTTCTCCCCATTATTCTTTGTCATATCCAACTGAGCATGCTGCAAATCTGTCAAAGAGGAATTATACCCATAAACTGAATACATGGGAGTTTTGCATCTTCCCAAGATGTTCCCGATTTGGAGACACTAGCTCCTTCACAAAAGTCCCAAAGTTTCCTGCTTTGAAATAGGTGAACTAGTTGCCTCTTTCACAAGGAAGAATTGCTATGGCTTAACAACCAACTTTCACAGTCTGAATTGCCAAAAAAAAAAAAAAAGCTCAAACATCTTTGCAGGAACACTGTGTGTGTGGATAAGCTTTTGCTGTGTACGCCTTAGTGCCACTTGGGCACTTTGGGGGCCACATGGTAGCCACCTAATGAGAACAGAAAGGAAGCTTTGTTGCTCTTGCCAAGAAACTTGCTTACAGTTGGGGGAAAAGCCACAATGGGTTCTGTCATTCACATTTGGAAAGCACAAGAGCCCATCATGAGTGAAACAAGAAGAGCTAAAAGCCATGGGTTGGCAGGATGGGTTAAGACGCAAACTTAAGCCATCCTGACAAACTCATCAGGGCTTTGCATCACTCACCAAACCACTGTGGCTTATATTTCCACCACATTGGTCTGTCATAGATTCGCACTTACAGGCTTGAAGTGACAGTATACTTTATCAGGGCTTAATATTTTCTATGATATAGGCCTGGCACCTGTTTTCATTGCTAAATTGTCCCTGAAATTTATGTAGTAAAGTTGCCATTGGGCAAGTGAAGAGTGTGTTGTCTTTACCATGGAGTAACTACAGAGAGACTGGGCTTGTATGACGCAATAACCCACTACGATTTATAAGTCCATGCCATGGCACAAAGTTAAGCCCAGATGCAAATGTACTGCCTATTCCAGTATGTTGGTGTGGATGTAGTTCAGACTATTGTTACAGCAGTTATTGTGCATAAAGAAAGTGGTTTTCTTAGTCCAGTGGCTTAAGGCTACATTCTTTACCAGCTCCTCTGAGAAGACAGAAGCAAGTGAAAATACAAGTATGTAGTAGCATATGGTGACACCAGTAACTACGATAATGACAGATTCTTTTCATGATCTGGAAGTAAAAAAATAGTCTGAAATACTGTCAGCATGCAGTATTGCAAAATCATATATTTTGTTTTATAGGCTGGAGATTTTTTTTTGATTTTTGATTCTTTGGTCAATTTTGTTTGTTTGTCTTCATCTTTGTCTATTTGTTATTGTCCTTTTATCCTAACTTCTTAATTGTAGTGTTCTTTGTTTTTGAACTTCTAAATTGTTTTCTGGTTTATCTTGCTTTCTTGTATTATCTCTCTTCTCCGTTTGCACAGGTTCTCTTTCTGTGTTTGGCCATATGCATTATACAGGAATAAAGGAAAGTTAGCACAAGTAGCTTTAAGACCTTGGCACCAAACATTAGATCTTTGATTCCATACTTTTACTCTGTTTACCTTGTACAGAGCCCACATTTAGTAATACTGCTAGTTTTCCATTTTTCTCCTATTTTTTTAATAATAGGGAGAAGATAATTAGGCCTCCAGATATTTTTTGATCCCAGTTCCCATTAGCCCCAGCAAAGTGGTCAGGAATGATGGAATTGTAGTCTAAGCATATCTGGTGTGCTGAGAGTTCTCCCATTTCTGCTATAACTGAAAATTAATGAAGAGACAGTTGTGGTTCTGCAAAGGAGGAAAGAGTAAATTAAAAATGGATGTTTCTGTTTATCTCGCACTGCTTGAAAGACAAAAGGCGGTAAATTAGGTGACAGTGATTTAGCAATTGTTTACAATTTTATTTTAGCTTTGATGTCTTCAAAGTGTTGTGAGCCGTCCAGGGACTCAGAGTGATTGGACGGCCTAGAAATATCCCAAATAAATAAATATTTGCATTTTTCCTGTAAATCTGACCCTGCAACCATTTCTTTGATGTATTCACATATGGACTCATCTGTAGTCACCACACCTGCAGCCCTGAAGGGATTTTGGTTTTTTTTTTAACTCCCATGGAGCATCCTTTGGTAGTGGTAGGACCCAGCTCAATAAGGAATTCCATTCAAGGAGGCTTCCTTTGACACAAATCGTTCTTGCTAGATCAGTAAATGGTTTCCTCTGAACTTTATGTGAAGAATTTTATCTCAGAATCTAAACTTATCCTCATAAAGAATCTCACTTGTGTACAAGAATAGTTTTGAAATTGTGACTGTACTGTCCCAATGCCTATAAATGAAGATATGACATTATTCTCTTATTGGCAGTAGTTGCCAGTATGCATTCTCTGATATTTAAGAAAAGGTTTATTTTGGCTGCAATCCAGTTTCCTAGGAATAAGACCCAGTAAACTCAGTGGGGCTTACTTTTTAGTAGGCATGAATAGAATTGGTGCTATTGGTGCCCCCTTCTTTTGGTCCTGAAATTTTGTAAGCCTTGTATTCCCTTTGTCAATTTGAACATTGGAAACATCAAGGAAGGGTCCTGTGGAACCATTCACTCCACCACATGTTCCTGTCTTTAAACTGAACTTTCAAAGCCTTTTCTCATGTCAAGGGGCTGTAGGTTTGAATCCATAGCATAATCAAGGAAATCTTCCAGGGTTGTATTTGTTTCCTCAGGACAGTCAACATTTTCAGAAAGAATTCAGTTCATCACTGCTGTTGACTAATTTTTAAAAAGTAAATTCAGTTGATAATTATTGAATGCTTTTTTGACATGTATGCACATTAATGCAGACAAACTCTAACAAACAGTTCCGCATTTGACAGCAGGTTTTCTTGCCTCTTTTTGACTTCATATTTTCTTGCACAATGCCTGATTATATCAGCTGCATGACATTTGGGAATATAAAGTTCTTTATGATCTCTGTGCATCACATGCATAGGACCTCTGTGAAGCCTGTTGCTGGGTACATTTTACAGCTAAAAGCATTTTGGTGGGAACCCCTCCCCCACACTGGTGTCCATGGAAGTGGGGGTGGGGGGAATCTTGCCTATTCCCTCAGTTCTACTTCACTGCCTTCAGTGCTTCGGGAGGTTTTCTTTCTCTCCCCTTTACCTCAAAATAGTGTTCAGTGCATTTCTAACTGTAAACACGGTTGCATCTTTATTCCTTAGGAAGAGTTCATAATACATGGTTAGAAACTAGACTGGCCACTGAGCCAGTACAGGGGTGCTTCCCAAGGGTGCCTAGTGCAACCAGTTAGAAGGCATTGTTGCAGCTACTTTTTCCTTTAATGGATTTTCTCCTGTTAGGAAAAAAGGTGTGGTGGGAAAACACAGGAGGTTATGAATGGGAAATGATGGTGTCTGAGTCCCCCATACAATTTTACAAATTGCAGTATAAATGCACTAATGGCAAAACCTGGAAGCACCCTATCACCAAGCTCTGATGTCAGGTCACTTACCCCTAGATACTCTTTGTTTTATTTTAATCACACTTCTTGGGCAAACATGCCCCAAAATAGCTCACATCAGTAGAAGAAAAGAGGTCTCACCCTTGGCTTAGAAACGAGAGAGATGGTTCACACAAAGGAGAGTGGAAAGAGAAAGGAGAAAAGAGGGAGGCTTTCTCTCTCATTTTTCTATTTGATGGAAGCAGGGACCAGGCTGGCCTTTCCTTGGCATGATGTTCTTCTGGAGGCAGAACTATATTTCATATAGCTGTCAGATAGAACTAACAGTTCCTTCTTTGGCTTTCTTAATCTTCTACAATATTCAATATAATTGTAGAAAGGAAAAGAAAGCAAAGCACTTCCTGAACTAGATCATGGAGGCAGTTATGGATGGGGCAGGGGCAGAGACTATAGTGCCCTATAATTAGAAGATTCTAAATCTGAGGTTATTCCTGTATTTCTAAGAGTTTCGGAAAAATAAAATTCTGACTCATGCAGATTTTCCATTGAAGGGAAAGCTGCATCAGATGAAAGGTTCACTTCCATGGAACTATAACTTACTGGATCCCTCATGAAAATCTGGACCCAACCACAGCACCTGTAGTAGTTTAACTGATGGAGGAAGTGCTTTGGTCCCCTTTGCCATGTTCTTCATGAGATAGATAGGTGTAAAAAAATTTTTGAGTGCTTGGACATATTTTAAAAGAAATCCACTGCAAAACTGCCACCATGAGAGCATGACTAGTCCCAAAAGACTAGCCACCTGCCTAGAAGACTGAGCAGCAGGGAGAGGGGAACTCCAGTACTCCTTCTCTTAACTCAAAGAGTTGTGCATCAACAAAAACATATTCCATAAAAAGCAAACTTTTTCTCTCTCCATCTCTGCCCACCAACTCATTAACTTCATCTTTTTTTTTCTTCCATCCAGTTTATCACACATACACTCTTTCTTTCACGTCATTTCTCTTTCTCAGCCCCCCCCCCCCCCATATATATATCCCTCTCTCTGACTGCTTCCTGCTCTGAGGCTTTTCATCATGGCTTCCTGCTGGCTTACCACTGCTGCCTCCATCCTTTCACTGTTCTTTAAACACCTTTCCTAGCTTACCAGACAGTGGGGACATTGGTTCCTTTTTTGTGTACCCCCCATTTGGTGGTTGGGTACACTGCAGAGGGAAGCATTGGCTTGCAGCTGATCACCATCTTAATTTACTGATATCTCTAAGCCCCACATGTGACCAAGAGGCTGGCAGCAGCTGCAGATCCTCACTTCGTTTAAAAGTGTTCTCTCCTTCCATTATCAGACCCCTGCTGGGCACACAGCCAGTCCTACTAATTTCATTGTGCCAAGCAACCTTCATTGCTTGCACGATGGTAATTTAGCACTTCCATGGGTAATTCCCCAAGCACTCATTTCTGGAAGTGGGCAAGTCAGTGAAGCTCCTTATGCACATGAACAGTCTCCATTTTGCACTGTTAAAATCTTTTAAAAAACAATCCAAGAGGTATTAAGATGACTGAGCAGGAACTAATGATGGATATGAGCACGTTTTGACCCTTGAAATATTATAATAAGCTTCTCTGAGTCAACAGAATGTGCTTAGCTCTTCTCCAATTGTATTAAGTATAAAACAAAGATTGTTCAGCATTTAGTACTTACTAATAAAAGAAAAACTATTTATATTCCTATAGAATATACAATAGGGTTGTATATTGGAATTATGGGAAGCTAATTAGGTAAAGAACTACAATTATTTTAGCTAGTTATAAAGCATAATCCAGTTGTGAAACTGAGAAGTTTAAATACAAGGATAGCAAAGTAGCAACATTTGGAGCAGAGGGACTGTTACTATTGGTGAAAATGAATATGCATTCAGGCTTTTACCAACCTCTTCTTCATGCTTGAAGGTCATGAATCTCATCTAGTGAGGGTGATTCTAAAGCACAAACAAGTTACTGTCCCATATATTTCCCTGCAGCCTTAGAAATAGGTGTTGCCAGTGGCATGTAGGGAATCAGACACACTATTGAACAGATGGTGAACACTCACCTCTTACACAACTGATCAGCTGTTGGGAATGGCTTAGTCAAGGACTGGCTCCTTTACCCTTGCTAGTAACAGCTACCAAAAGTCTGTGGGGGGCTTGTGCTACAGTGCAAAAGCATCTGTTTTTGCATGCAGAAACTACCAGGTTCAACCTTTGTATTTGCAGTCCGAAACAGAGGCACTGCTAGTTTTTAATAATGAGCTAGAAGGATCAGTGGTCTGAGTCAGTATAAGGCAGCTTCCTGTGTTCTGTAACATCTCTTTGGCATGGGGAAAGGAGCTTTCTCTTGCACTGTATCACTTGCTGCTTTACAAGAGTATCTGTGGATCAAGGCTGTACAGTAAAAAGGATGTAGTATGTTATCTGCTACCACTAACAGAGCTTTTTTCCACCCTTATTTGTGTTAGTGATTTGGATGCCATGAGTAATTTTGTAGGGTCATGGCTAACCTTTAAGAGAATAATCTCATATAAATAGCTATTTTACATATACAGCTGTATATTTGTAAGGTGTACAACCTTCTATTTTTGGTATAGCTAAAACTGGCTTTTAGAAATAGCTGTGTTCAAACCCCTAGATGATGGCAGCAATTATTTTAGCGCAACAATTATTAAAGTCTTTAAGCTTTTGGTGCCTTGCATGTTGTGCAGTTGATACATTCTGAATCACTTAGCAAGTAAAGACAAGCCATGCTAATACTGCTGACAGGACTAGTAAAGATGGCTGTGCTTTTTCAATTGCATGCATTACACTGACACTATACTTTCTTTCCTTTCCTTTTTCCTATGCCATGCTTGCTGTAGCAAATGGAATCTCTTGCAGTAAGTTAAATGTTCTTTCATATTCTTTGTCCATTCAAATATGGACTAAGGCATCTTAGTTCATTGTTTTAACTCTTAGCATGTTTTCCCCTTTTTTCTTTGTCTTTTTTCCTTATTGAAGCTATGTATGATAATAGTAATACATGTTCAAATGGTATTTTATTTCAGAGTTCCCTGAAGAGCTTGAATGTAGCTTACTGTATTTATACATTCTGACCTTGTCACATACAATATGTCACATACAATGTGGAATTATAAAGATTATATGAGCACAAGTCAGCCTTATTTAATAGTCAAAATCCTCAGTCCCCTTGTGAAGGAAAAAGCCAAAATGATGGATACAGTAAAAGAAGTAGCATCTAAACTGACTCTACAGAAATGAAGTCAGCCTCAATTTCATGCTGTGTATTTACTAATCTAATCTTAATTATGGTTTGTCAAAACAAAATAGCATTATAGTTCATGGTTTGATTTTGGCTTGTTTCAAGCAAAGCATAGATAAAATTATAAATAGTTATTTGGGCTGAAGTTATTTTGAGTGAAACAAAAATGTGCTGGCTACTAAAACTGAAGTGCCTTCCACATGCCTCCTCACAGCTAACACAGAAGGGGCAGGATTTGTGCAAGGCTTGCTTCTTATTTCATGGCTTAATGTGACATCAAAATACAGCCTTTGTGATCACTTGGCCCAAATGTACAACTCTTCCATTCTTTGCATTTTATGCCACCACTAGATTGTAAAATTGATGCAAACTGTGTTCAGGAAAATGTGTAGAATTTAAAATTCATTGTGGCAGTATTCAGCTACTAAGGCTGAAACCATGAAAGAGACATGTATCTCCATACAACATAATATTCACATTTTAAGGCACTTTTGAGTGTTTAAAGAGATTCATATCTTACATTTCTTATATGTGGGAAAGGGAATGCCCAGCTTACAGGCCAAGGTCCCTCATCCTACCTGCCACATTCCCTGCCTTATGTATGATCAGAAATAAAGGGTTCCTTGCTCCTCCACCCCCACACTGTATTTAGGTTTTCTTTTAAAGCCTCCATTGGTGGGGAAGAACTGATGGGGAGGGTTTACCTTGAAAAACCAATCCCCTCCGCCTGCAATCTGGCTTTTAAAATGGGTACCAGTGAAGGCTTTTTAAAGCTAGACTGCAGCAGAAGAGCAGCAATAAGTGCAAGTATGAATGTGCATATGAGGTCTGCCCAATCACATTTAGAGGCCACATGCCAGCAAAGGGTGTATAAGGCCACTCAACATGCCCCCCCCCCCCAGAACCAATTCAGCTTTTGAGCCAAAACAGGTCCCCATCCCTGCCTTACAACAATCCTATAGATAGGTTAACATTATTCTCATATTGAAGGTGAGGAACTGAAGCCAAAAGACAATGGCTTGCTGATATCAGGACTTTCATGGATTGGCCTCTTAGTCACTTTGTGAAACCAAAGCAGCTGTTGCAATGATGACACACACTTCTCATGATATCCTCGTATTTCACATGTGTAGGGACAATTTGGTCTTTTTGTAGCATTGATTTGTAACCCAGTTTTCTACTTCTGTTCCCAAAGCATCTTATGGAACAGTCAGGCTGTTGCTTTTTTTTTAATAACTTGCCCTTTACAATTTATTTCTTTAGCAATTGGAACTGTGCCAGAGATTATATAAGCTGCACTTCCAGTTGTTGTTGCTTTTTCAGTCGTACTGTAAACTCATCGGACAAGTGCACGAAGTTAGTACAATGCCAGAGGTATGTAGCAAAAAGACACAAGCCTTTTGCTGAAATAATTGCTGTTTTCTTGTGTGTTGTTGATTTCATTCAGCAATTTATCTTGTTTAAATGGAGGCCACTTAGTTGAAATCATGAATGATAACTTCAAAATGCATAAATATCCCTTTGATTTAATTAAAAGGAAAGACTCAGCCACCAAAAAGGAGAATTTTGCTTACATTTATATGCTGCTGTTCCTCTCTGGGTTCAAAGCAACATACAATTTTACTCTCCCCATGTGCCTTTATCAACTCCGTTGGCTGAGAAAGTGGGTGTTTGAACCAAGGTCACTGTAGTTCAGTATTTCAATAACAGTATTTCAGTAAGTGCATGGTAGTTTATAATAAGCAGCTGGTCTTGCTGCATGTTCCAAAAAGCATGCTTCACCTCAGTGTGCTATGCTTACAAGCTCCCATCCCAGCACTAAGAGCATGATATATAGCCCTCCATGCTATGTGTGTGTGCATATAGAATATCTTGTTTCAGAGGAATATGTATACATTGAAGATTCCTGAAGTGGCAGGGTTATACTTTGGATAATAGAATAGGTGTGCTCTTTGCCATTTGGTGGTATGAGCATTAATGCACTACTTGGGACTGTACATAGCCAAGCAATAAAATAAAACAAAATGGTAGGTAGATGAAGGTTATAAAAGTACTTTTTTTCCTGCTTCTTTAAAAAAAAAAAAAAAAAAAGGAGGTGGCAGCAATGAGAACTCCAAAAGTGGAGCAGCAAGCATAGGAGCATGTGACTACCACATAAGTTTTGGGCACTAATATTTTTGGAAAGTGCAGCCACTTTCCCCAAAGTTGTGCATCCAGAAGTGAAAGTATAATCAAGTGGAAAGACATTGGCTTAAAAAATGGTCATGCAGAAACACTACGAAAAACACTTGTATTAGGGCATAATCAAATATTCCCTGCTGCAGATGCATATAGTCCTCTGAATTTAAAGATTGTAGGTAGCCCTTTTCTAAAACCAATTCTTCTAAAAAAAAAATGAGATCTAGCTTAGTTACTATTGTGGCAGTGTCTCATGATCATTAAATGTTAACTCTAAGTAAATCATGAAGGGGGCTTCATGGCCCCTTCCAACTCTACGATTCTATGATTCTATGAAATACAAAAATTTAGTATCAGGTTTCTATAATAAAAACGTAGGTCTATCAAAAAAAGGGGTTGCATAACGTAATTCCCCCACCTCAGTTGTAAATTGCATATACACAGTAGTATAAATCCAGTAAGAGCCAGTTGAGATTCAGATCACATTCAGACTAGTGGAATTTAAGTGCAACTAAATGACTGAGACCCATTGATTTCAATGGGACTTGGTCATGATTAATCGTTGCTGGATTCATCCCAGAGTATTTGAAAGATTTTTTTTCTTTTTATCCATATCCTGCCACATTCTGAGAACTAGTTACAAAAATATAAACATTAATATAGATGTCCCTTAAACTGAAGGCAAGCTAAGAAGGTAGGTGAAAAGAACAGTGTGTTTTATACATATTCTACTACAGCTGTAATATAATACTGCTTTAATGAAGTGAAATTATTTCCATTGTGAATGACAAATTTGCATCCCTAAGTATGTTAATCATAACATGAAGTCACACAGACTATCAAAACAACAGTGTGCTCAGAAATTGAGTTCCATATGCATCTTGTACCTATGCATTGCGGAAAAATGAAACTCCCAGCTGAAAAAAGGGAATTGTTACTGCCCATTAATTAATTTTATAATTCTAATATCAAGTAGGGCAAAATGTGCATTCATAAATATACTTCTGCTTTCTTCAACAGCTGCTGAACATGTCACGAGAGCTGAGTGAGTTAAAGAAGAACCTTAAGGAAGCTAGTGCTGCCATTGCAATGGAACCATTGATTATAGAGTGTGGTACTTCTGAACCCATGTTCACTTCTACAGAAGTAGCTATTCAGTCCATGCTGGAGTGTCTGAAAAACAATGAGCTTGGAAAAGCTCTATATCAAATAAGAGAGTGCAGGTAACATTTAGCTAGGTGACTGATATGGCCTCTAATTCTCTCTCTGAAAAGGCTGTAGTTTTGAAAACATGCATAAAGGAAAACTGTAGCTAAACTCAGACAGGCAGCTTTAGATTAAATTGTTTGACCTAGCCGAACCCCTTTAAAGTCAGAGATAATGCCAAAGTATAATATTCATTTCCTTATCCCTACATTATTTCCATCTACTGGTATAATGATTTTAAAGCACACTCTATTAAGAACTTGGATTGTGCATACACCATTGAAGTGAAAAGATAAAAAAAACATTGCCTTAGTACTGCATATATTAATTTTTGCAGGCCTTGAATGGAAAAAGTTCCTACTAGCATACACCTTTTTACAAAACCCAAGTCTAAAAGGGAAAGGCAGTAAAAGTACAGTCCTATGGCTTCCCAAAATTGTCTGGGAGATCACAGGATTCTCTGGAGCCTCGGTTCTGAGATCCTGTGATTTTGGAGCTGTGATTTTGAAGACTGAACACTCAACTACCCTTATAACTGGCATAGATAGAACAATGCCAGCTTCCACACCATCTTCCCAGCAAGGAGACCTGCCACCACTGTGCCTCAATTTAGATCTACTGTGAGGATATGGGCCACAGGATTGTATCATAAATGCATTAAGTTAGCAGAATAAAAACTGTTCTCAAAAATGCTAAAACATATTCAGACTCAATGGCTCGAGGATAATAGCCAATCTTCAGTGGAGAAATGCTTTCATATCTCATTAACTAGATGAGATTGCTAAAGGAAATTCTTTCCAAAATGCAGAGAGCATGAATACACTTTGCACTTCAAAGATGTTTCTCCTGTTTATTTGAGCTGTGGCTGTCCGCTTCAAACTCTTCTAAAATCAAGCTTTGACAGATTCTTAGGAATGGTTTCTTCTTGAGTCCTCCATGTTTTAGGTCAGAGGACAGTGTGCAGTCTCATTCCCAGTGTTATTTAGCTCTTTCCCGATCCCATAGCTTTTAAGTTATTAACATTCAATGGTGCTTAACAGTGACCAAAGAATTAATTTTCCTAGTTAGTAAGATGTGAACCTTTGAGCCATTCCCTTTCTTTTCTGTTTAGTTTCTGGCCCATAATTAGGAGATTTTACAGTCTTCAGCTTAGCTTAGTTCAGTGAGGTTCAGTGTTGAGTGTCAGGCTGAGAATTCCCATCATAGCCTGTTGCATAAATACCTTGGGCAGTATCCAGTATAGTCTCTGCATTTATGCAGTTAACATTGGTGTAAGCAATCACAAGTATACTAGTACTGTGAGTTGACACAACAGATTTTCCCTGGACAAGTCGTTGCTCTAGAACCGACACTAGAACTATGTTAATTGCCTAAAAGCAGCAGGCTGTTGGATACTTGTTGCCTTTGCTGTCTCCCTACCTCCCATTTAACTTGTTTTTCTATTTGTAGTTGCCTCCACAATATTGTTTCTTCGGGAGTAAGGGTGGAGTCACAAGTCCATATATATGAATAAGCACAAGTTGAGAACATTTAACTGTCACCTTACATTTATACCCTTGCAAACAAATAACTAATGAGGTCAAGAATGTTATCTCAATTAAAGTTACACAAAATGACTCTTGTGCAACTACAGGAAGCGTTGACTATAAGGAACTTATTCTTTGTATAGCATTCAGCCTATTAAAACAATGGCTTATGTTTTTGTTTTACTGCAGGAGCTTATGGCCCAATGATATTTTTGGAAGCAGTTCTGATGATGAGGTCCAGACTCTACTGAATATTTACTTCCGGCACCAGACATTAGGGCAGTCGGGCACTTATGCACTGGTGGGCTCTAACCAAAGCCTGACAGAAATCTGTACTAAACTGATGGAGCTGAACATAGAGATCCGGGACATGATTCGGAGAGCTCAAAGTTACCGAGTGATCAATACTTTTCTTCCAGACTCCAATGTTTCCGGCACAAGTCTCTGACAAAAGCCTTGCGCCCTCTTTCCCATTCAAGTTGGGATTGCTTCCATGCTGGGCTAAGGTGGTTCTGTGCCTTCTTGGCCTTAGAAAGACTTGGTCAAGTTGTAGTCAGTCTTGTTACCTTTACATTTTCCAAAAGGAGTTGGGCAGAGTTTTCAGTGTGTAGCAAGACTGTAAGGACAAAGGTAGCATAGAATCCTTTGTTTTGAGCTGCACAGACAATGCATTTCACTGGGCAACTGCAATTCACTACTGAAGAAGTGACTTCCATGCATACCAAAGACTACTACACTGTACAAGACTTCCTTTCGAGAAAGTTATGTTAGGATGGCAAAAGTGCAATCTTTTCTTCACTTAAGGATTTTGTTTTTTAATCTTGTACATTTTTTTTCCTTTGACCAAGTTTAAAAATAGGCAGAATGAAGCTAGTGACAGGACACTGAAAGACTGTC